TAAAGTAGAGTAGTCGAAGTCGTATTAAATTCCCTAATACAGACACTTTTAAAACTTAATACTTGCTGCTACCAGCCCATTTACAGAAATATACAAAAAATAAATTGCGAGCAGACGTGTGAATAACTATATCGGCTAAATAAATAGTTTATTCGATTTGATTTTTCGTAAGCAAATCGCCGAAGTAAGAATAGTATAATAACGTGCTCGTTCCTCTCCTTTGAGTTCTTCTCGTGTCACTCATCGTGCCAGTCACCCCCGCTATCCGGCCTATATCAACACAACAGGAAGCCAGCTGCCGATTTCTTCACCAGAAGGAGGAGCTTACTATGAATCGAGAATACCGTGTCATTTTCCCTCGGTGAAGTTTGTTGCGCCATCAAGCCGTGGATCTCACGACGATGACGACTTCGTCACTTTCAATTTCGACCAGGTAAGGTGGTCCATTTCTCATCTGCAAGCGCAGAACCTTAGCTGAGTTTTGTCACGTTGTAGCTATGGTATTCATCATCAATATTTTCTTCGCCATACCCTCACACGCCTTTGCGTGTGCCATTTAGCCCACACCGATCGTAAAGCGAAGACCCACAAATTGCGAAGGTAGCACGTTCTTAATTCACAGGCAATCAACTCTAGGATTATCGTTTATGCTCAGAGCAGCACGGGTGGTGATTTTCGTTTCTACCATGAGAGATGCATCTGGACGTCTGGCTAAAGTTTCAATTGATGCTTGGCTTTACGAAGGAAGGTTAAAGCTCGACTCGGGTTTCAAGGAGCAAACACACCACCCCTAGTTCCTGCTTTTTACAGCTTTGCTAGCGTGCATGCGACGGCTGTTGAAACAATCAATCAGGGTCACTCATCAGTAAAAAAGATGTTTGATTGGCTTCCTAAATACTTTTCAAAAGAGAATAGAGACGAGTTTACGCTAATTAATGATGAGGTGGAGGCAATCTTGTCTTAGTAGAACTTCATAGAGGCTGCAGCTAAGACGATTCCTGCCGCATTACCAGATATAAATAACAGTTTTGGTTGTTTGCCTACCCACATAACATTCATTATGAAAGTGGAACGATATTTGCTACTCAAGCAGTGCGCGCAGAGGGTGATCCACCTTTAGCGAGCCCTCTCTGATGTGGCGATACGTCATTGCGATTCGAAATTCATTGTGCGCATTAAAATTAAGATAGGTAATGCTCTCTCTTTGCCTTACTATCGCACTGCGTAGGCACAACTGCCCAGAACTAAGTTACCAGTCTGGAGCAGAGGGTAGCACAGCAATAGGTAATGGTTTAGACGCATCCCGTCAAGATCAGCGCCCTCCTTTCCGCCTGACTCGTTTTAGCGGAATCGTGACATGGCGATCTATTCGGGCTGCAAAGGGTATGACTTAGTCCATTTAATTGTTACGACAGTGAATGGTGCGATAAAGCATAGCCGGAACTTAATGAGTGCAACCACTTGATATGTGAGTAGGGTAGCAGTGTTAAGTACTGAATTTTGCCCCACAACATAATTATGTGAGTTTTGAATGCCTTTTAGAGCGGTGTGTGACTTCAGAGTCTCCGGCTCTCGGTTATTGCGTCAAGTGTGCTGCGCCGGACGCTCAATCTCCTCGAGAGTATTTGCTACGGTCTTAGCTAATTCATTTATGGACAACAGATTAAAGCCTGTTCATGCATGCATTGCGTTCTTCATCGCTTATTCAGCGAGCGAGACTTACTTGCATCGGCACCGCGGTCAACTTGCGCAAATGGATATTTTTAATCACACAATATTATCATAAAAAAATTTGCCTATCAGTTCGCGTCGATATATCAAACCTTGTGTATAGAACACCATCTTAAATTCGACGAATGAAACTTCGTGGGAAATTTTTTGGCTTTTGGTAAGCTATGCTGACGAAATCACGTTTGTGATAAACAGCTTGACTATAACATCACTAACTACATATTGCTGACAGCAGCGAGGTGTGTCATCATGCTATACGATATACAAAGATCACTACATCGGTATTTCTAGTGATTATTATATACCGAAGATAAAAGCCCATACCTATGGACTGCCAACACACCGTAGGACCAGCAGACTTGCCAAAGATGTCGCCGCATGCAGTGAGGTGTAATCATCGGACACGTCTCACACGTGTGTACATATGTGACGACACCAGCTTTTTAAACATCATACACTTTAGCGTTGTTTGCAAATGTCAACGTAAATTCCACATCAAATGTCCCGTGCTCAGCACAACCAAAAATTTTGGATTGTAGCCTGGTAGCCTACGTGCTACTCTATTTTCTTCCTCCGACTCGAAAGCAGAGCCTCAAATCGAGTGTAGTACCATAATATGACATGTGATCAGCAATATTTTTTTTAATTTCTTATCAAAGCGGATACGAAAAGAACCATCTGCTTCTATAAATGTACTTACATTCCTGTTTCGCAAAATTTCATCGCAACTATGCTTACCTATACTACAATAGAGCCAAGCAGCTGTACTGCATCTGATTGCCGTCTATTAACAGTACCTTAACCTTGGGAGGTTAACATCAATCAATGATTGTAAGAGTCTTTGAATGAGTTTCATACTGTCATCAGAGTTTTTGCCACTATTCAGAGTCAGGCGTCGTACTCTATAATCAATCAAGGCAAAAGACAAAATGTGTGGTAATGGCCAACTTACAGTTGTCGTGGCCGAAGGAGAAGTCGACATTTTTATCAGGTATGCTCACGAGAATGATTTCATTGGCATCAGTCAAGTGACTATTATGTGTGGCTCGTCACATATCATGCATTCAGTCAATCTGTGCTATCAACCAGCTCAGAACTCCTTGGAAAACTTTGTCAGACACTCCTATGATCATTTTAAGCATATTCGCGCCAATATTTTGTAGAAAACAGCAATCCAGACGACCGAGTGACGATAGCAACAGCTGTGACTACTACATTTTTTGGGGACGAAGATGCCAGTGGTGGGCTATGTCTTTGATCAGAAAACTGCAAAGTCAATTTCCAAATACCGGTATCTTAGTTATATCAATGCTTAACTATAAACAACGCATCGCAAACATAAGCGCACAAGTCGAAGCCTCGACACCACCTCATCTACTAGATACTTCTGCCTCTATGTACGATCTCACTCGAAGAATCGGTTGCAAAAACCGACTGCCGTTTAATAGCTATGCGACATAGCACATTTTCTGCCTTTTCATTCGTAAAAATTAGTCCAATCGCATTTTCCCGTCTTTTCAGCCATAGTTTCCACTTTCCATTACTGTCTTTGCCACGTACTGCTCTCGTCTTATCATGTCTGAGTTTAAAATGACAATTTGTTGCATGGGCGCTGGGTATGTGGGTGGTCCAACTATGGCTGTGATTGCTGCCAATTGTCCAGATATCAAAGTTGTTGTTGTTGACGTAAGCGAGCAACAGATTGCGAAGTGGAACACACCTGATGATATTCCGATCTATGAGCCAGGACTTAAAGAGCTTGTGGATGCTCGTCGCAATAAGAATCTGTTCTTCTCAACAGATTTGGACAAGTATATCAATGAAGCTGAGATTATTTTTGTGTGCGTTAATACACCGACAAAAACAAGTGGCATTGGGGCTGGTAGTGCTGCTGACACAAAGAATTGCGAAGCTTGTGCACGTAAGATTGCAGATGTAGCAGCTACAGGCAAGATTGTAGTTGAGAAATCCACTGTACCTGTTCGTACCTCTGAAAGCATCAAAGCTGTACTACGTGCCAATGCTAAGGGCTTGAATTTTGAGGTGTTATCGAACCCCGAGTTTCTAGCTGAGGGTACGGCGATCAATGACTTGCAACAGCCTAGTCGCATTTTAATTGGAGGAGCTGAAACTTTAGAGGGACACGAGGCGGTTAATAAGCTCGTGAGTATTTATGCTCACTGGGTACCACGTGAACGTATCATTACGACAAATGTTTGGTCATCAGAGTTGTCGAAACTTGTCGCAAATGCTTTTTTAGCCCAGCGAATTTCAAGTATTAATTCGATCTCGGCTGTATGTGAAGCAACTGGGGCCAATGTTCATGAAGTTGCACGTGCAGTTGGTGCAGACGACCGAATTGGCAGTAAATTTTTGAATTGCTCGGTTGGCTTTGGTGGCTCGTGTTTTCAAAAAGATATTTTGAACTTGGTATATCTAGCACAAAGTTTTCACTTACCAGAAGTGGCCGAGTATTGGCGTCAAGTAGTGACGATGAATGAATATCAAAAGACGCGGTTTGCTACGACAATGATTCGTCGAATGTTTAATACAGTCACGAACAAGAAGATTTGCATCTTAGGCTTTGCGTTTAAGAAGGACACTGGCGACGTACGGGAGACTCCTGCTGCATCGATTGTCAAGTATTTGCTAGAGGAAAAGGCCAATGTGGCTGTTTATGACCCGCAGGTGAAGTATGATGAGTTGATGCATGAACTAGAGTACCAGGGCGTTAGTCAGACTAGCTATCCGTTGATAGACAAGCTGCTGACAGTGTACAACGACCCGTATGAGGCGGCTCATGGTGCACATGCTCTTGCTGCGCTAACAGAGTGGGACGAGTTCAAAACGCTGGATTATGCTAAGATTTATGAGAACATGACTAAACCAGCCTTCTTTTTCGATGGTCGAAACATTCTTCCGCATGACAAGATTGCGGAATTAGGTGCCAAAGTTTACGTCATTGGTCGCGCTGACGTCATTTCAGACGAAATACCCTTTTAAAACTGTGTCGTTAATAATGAGCCTTTGCTTACGTTTCAAACTTTTATGTTAGCGGAAATCGCGCTATGTTTGTTCTGGGTTGATGAGCTACTTGATTCGTTCATTCATATTGTTTTAAAATGCAAACCCAAGTCGGTGACATAAGGCATCAACAAGATCTTGATATTCATAACGATCATTGATTCTTTATACTGGTTCCAAGTTGTGGTTTTAACAGCTTGACCGTTGACTTGTGGTGTTTTCTTGCTTTTGTAAAAGAAAGGATGAGAGGTTGGTAAAATCTTTACAACGCAGTGATTTCTTACACGCGCTACAAAAATGCATTCAGTAGGGCTGCCGACAGGTGCATTATAGCATCATAGTGCAGTGACGGAGTTGAATTCAAAGAGAAATAAACGTCTTAAGATGATCCAAACATCTAGTATCAATTTTTTCTGCACAATTTAGCAGAAATGTGATCAATAAGTCAACGAAAAGAGATGGTCATCATACGGTTTTTGGCGCGTGGTATCTTTTGGTTTATATGACTGCGGTTGTGTTACCGGTAAGCATTTTACCGATAATACAAGTGGTACTAATAAGTTTTTGAAAAGGTGGCTCAAAATGGAGTTTCGGTAGTATTTGTTTGGACTGTCAAATAATACTTACCTACCTAAATAATCTCGGTATTGGTATTGCATAGCGTAAATGATAAGAATTACAGACTTATTCTGCCGTAATAATATGCTATCTGGTCAGTAAAATTTTTAACGTGTTTGGTACCCCGCAGTGTGTCCTTGCACATCGTGTAATTATTTGATCTTAAATCCAGCCTTTTGTCTGAAGTTGAGCCAGCACTTCACACTGATCATTTTTTTAAGTACATAGTTCGTTAATGTAGCAGGGGGCTCATTAACCACCAGAGCAGATCTATGAGCAAGGGGCAGCTCACGTCAAACGTGGAGTCTCAAGCTCTCCGGAACAAGATTACAGTCTTGTTGGGGGTTAGTCTTGATTGCACATGTTGTGTGGACCCGATATTTCTGTGTGTAGTTAACTAACAATATATCTTGCATATTGTAAATCCCACAATTCTCGAAGACACTTGTCAGTTAGGGAAGGCTTAAAGCCTATTGGCTATGGTAAATGTCCCTTCACATTTCCTCCGCGTTCGCGTAAATCAACGGCTCGCTGTAAGTGAGCAACACTCGGTGAAGCGCGTGAAGCGATTTAGTCTTCCTCAGTAAGTGCGTATATAGGGATGGACAATCCGTATCTACGCACTTACGGTCTACTTGTTTGCTGAGAGAGACAAAAAAAACAGTGAACACCGGCATTGGACCAGTAATGGTGTGGTCACACTAAACAAGAAGTCAGTTCTTGGCTGGACTGCCAGTAGTTATACTTTTGATTAGGTTTTGATATATAAAAAATCAATAGATTGAGATATAGGCGGCTTTGCCGCAGATAATAGTGTAGGTTTTAAAGGTAAGAGTTAATCTGACTTGAATTAAGGTTGTGCTCACTCTTGGAGTTAGTGGATTTCGATCCGCTACACTCGAATTGGTTCTAAGTATAGAACGAAGGTCCCCGTCCTTAATCAAGCTTCCTTTAAGCAAAAGAGCTACGGCAGCCCCGCTGTAGGTTCTTCGTGTTGATATAATACCTGGTACTTGTCAACAACTCTATTCCATCTGAGATCTGTGTCCACCGTGAAATCATGACACAAGAGTCAAAAGCAGATTTGCATGCCACCGCGAATCGCTTGTACCGTTGCGATTGTTATTTAGTTATTACTACCCTATCAGATAGAAAAGTGGTATGGAGTGCAAGCATAGGTACGTGATACCGGTCAAATTCAATTTTGATACTAATTTTGGTGAGCTATTATCTCTGCCATCTTAAATTCGACGCATTTTTGATACGTACCCTGTTACTTTGGCTACTTTTTTTACATTCCTTGTTGATCTTTGGGTAAATGGGATGATTTGATAATTGTAAGTCCTTAAGAGATAACTATAGTTTCCGTATTTACTCATCTTGATGCCCGGCTTGAAGCTGTCGTAGCGGTCCCAAAGCGTGATAATGCGAACCCAATCTACTCGAATACATATAAGTCAGTAATTGAAATCGTACGTGCCGATACATTCTTTTATAGAATAGATCTTGAATCAGTAAGTTGGGTTTTGCTGACTATGAGTAGCTTCTGTTCATTCGTAGTGGATCCAAAAATTGAGGAATATTGAGAAAGCTGGCACGAGGGCTCCCTCTAAAGCTCAAGCACAGCACATCAATGAGCTTGCCAGATCTCTACAAGGTTGCCACAGTGTGCATAATCGTTTCAATCGTGCAGCATGGATAGAGCCATGAAGAGAAGGTGGTTAAGCAACGAAATAGCTAGAGGCTGCAGGCCGTTATCTTCTTGAATGCGACTACAGGCCAATGAGCACTGCGTGGAGTACAAAAATATTTTTAGCGTCAACTGAATATTTTTAGACGCCTCCTCGAGACGCCTACCCTTTGCATACAAACTACACAATTAAACGTCCATCATTTTATCAGTGGCCAAAGAAACACTGGTAGTCTAGCTAAAACGCATGCAATATAGTATCTATAATATATGTTACTCTTCTCTTCTCTATGATAACGTATGTGGTCGGCATTCCTGACACTAGCGCGCATCAAGAACCTCATTGTTGTTTTGCATTTTCTGTACTTTACACGGACAATTCGCGATCCAGTGCGTTGTTAGCAATTGCTTTAATAATACTAAGGTACGTCGATATCGCGCAAGTTTTTTATGTTATAGGCCCTTTGTTAGGGTCAACCTATCAAGCGGTACCTTGCCATAGTATGCTGCATTTTGCATTGCGAAACGTATTCTTTGCTAACAGTTCTTCTTTGTGCACTTGACGCTGAAAAAAACAATCTATGTGTATTAGCCAACTTTCTTTATCTTATAATCAATTACGCCGAAACATTTATAAAGAAATGGAAATTGCGTCACTTTTTTCACTAAATTTAGCTTGTGGAGCTGTAAATGAGTGAGGCAATGTGCGCAAACTTAGCATGATATTCTCCAGCACTTTGCCGACTATCAGTTCCATAGGTACGATCCATATAGAGAATACGTATTTACCGATCCAAGTTACAACGGGAGTTTCGTGTACTGCGCACAGAGAAAGAATTGACAGTACGAATCTACGTTGACAAACCACAAGAGGACACATCCCGGTGCGCGATTGCAGCGGGGCTGCCGTAGCTTATTTGCTAAGAGGAAGCTTTGTTAAGATCGGTGACATTCGTTCCATTTTTAGAACCAGTATGACTGTAGCGGATCGCAATCCGCTTACTCCAAGACAAACTACAACCTCAACCCAAGGCTGACTAGCTCTTCCGCTTAAAGTGTAATCTATATTTTCGGATTTACCTGCGGCAAACCCGCCGATATCTCAATCTATAGTTTTTTCTAAATTATATAGAAAAACCTTATTAAATATATAACTACTGCTTTCCAGCTACGTACTGACTTTTTGTAGTGTAGCCACACCATTGTGTATTCACACCATCTTATGTAAACCACACCATTGTGTGATCACGCCATCTTGTGATAACTGATACACTCTCCCCCATCAAGATTGTGAACACCTACAGTTCACATTCAACTGTCGCCTCGAACAAGGCTCGCGTGTCTAAGACACCACAACATCACCGGGACCTTCTTCCATTTGTCTGCCAAATGAGCCCTGTGTCGAGGACACTCAGCCTCTCTGGTTCCGCGGGGAAAGTCCTTCTTTGTCTCCTGCACGCGGTGCAACTCCGGACAGTACGTCCGAGGCATCAAGGCAAGCACATCCCAGGCTTTTGGTAACAGATACTCTTTCCCAGCGTGGAAAGAGGAAGAGGGTGGGGTGCCCCAGTGGCGCGACGTGAGCCCTGCCCAAACCTTACGGACGCTGTGTCCGCTCCCCGGATTCTCGACTTACGGGGGAATTGTAATCATTACCAACCATCTCAACAACGCACAGCAGCAGCTGGACGGCGGCTTTCATGCACTCGTATCCTTGTCCGGTCCTTGACCCTCGTGTGAAATACGGCTTCTGCTCGGCGGACTCCGCTGCAGAAGCGAAGGACGCGATCACTCGATCGTTGGGCGTCTTCGTAGTCGGGCCCCCGGCCACTACACAAGCAGAGCTAAAAAACGAAACGCTCTCCGAGCTCGCTTCTAGGTACCTCAAGAAATCCCAATGGGTACGTATCGCACTCGACTCTATGCTCAAAGAGGAGGTTTTTCTGTACCCGCGATGCGAACGATTCCTGTGGTGATTGTCCCTGGCAAAACCGCTGTAGATGACGAAAAGCTCTTTGAGCGATGGGTGCAGCTGCACCGGATACTCTTCTCGCTGCACAGCTTACGGCTGAGCCATAGAAAAGTAGACTAGCGTGAGGAACGCCATCTTTGCTTCGGGTCTGCCAAACTCAAGGCGCCTCGCTTACTTCATTCGGATTGTCGCCACTGCGACGTATGGGTTGATCCCACGCACTTTCGCGAGCTCTGTGGTCTCTCAAACGAGTTAATCTGCGATCGCAGCAGCTTAAGGCCATAGATTAAGCTCAGCTAATGACCCTTCGGCCTCCCCGACTTGCCAGGAAACGCGAGGCGTACGACGATGCGGAGCGTCATGTTCCTTCTGATCATCAGCGTCGACGACTTCTGAACAGTCTTGCCGAAGTGGATCTACAAATTACCACCAGTTCTCGAAGTTAGGGTACCGCCACTTCACAAGAAACTGGGTTTGATCCTGGCGACGAGGTCGACCCACAAGACGTTCCACGTGATAGTGGACGGCACTATTCTCGTCGAGAAGAGTTTGCGGAGAAAGACTGGGTCTTTAACGGGGCTACACGTAGCCTGGTATGAAAGGGTGGGTCACAATAGATGGTGTGGCCGTACAAAGGTATGGATAACACAAGTCCGTGTAATCACACAACGGTGTGGCTACAACGTAACAAGAAGCCACTACATGGCGGGACTGCCAGTGGTTATGCATATAAATTAGATTTTACGATTCAATAAGTAAACCCTAAAATTGAATTATAGGCGTCTTTGCCGCAAACAAAACAAATAAATACAGTTTCGATTTTGAACGGAAGAGTGTATTTGCCTTGGTTAAGGGTTTTGGGTCTTTTTAGAGGTGCTACACTCGTACTGGTTCTGGTATAGAACGTAAGGTCAGTGACCTTAGTAAGGTTCCTCTAAAGAAAAATCTACGGCAGCCCCACTGGACGTTATCGAACGCTGCCCATCCATACCGGAAAGGTGGGTCCCACAACGGGCACCGGGACGGCGCCGTCAATCAATGTCGAGAAGATTTCGTGCTAGTTTGCTTCCTATTGCGGTGCGTTCTGACATGGGCTGTTGGTCTGGTGCTTAACAGCATCAGTGCTGTTGTAGTTTAAGCAATTTTATTTGAACGTCATCTGGAGCTGATGTTCTCACAGACCAGTTCACAGTCAAACTGGAGCAAGGTAAAGATTCACAACCTGGAATAAGTGATGTACCCGACCCAACCCTTGCGCTAAACCAATCGGCGTATAGTAACAAATTCTCAAATAGAGCGCGTGAGTGTAGTCATAAGATATGAATTTTCTTGCCATATTTTGAATGATTCGAAAAAACTTACGTCAGACAATAAACGAAAACATGTAATTTACAGTCATAGATTGCAAAAATCTCGAACGAGATCATATATTAGGATGATGTTCTAGTACGAAAATTCAAACGACGATATCTCGGCATGATATCTAAGCATTCAAAATGATCATTTTTCTTAGTCTGTCGATTCAAAGGAAAATTAAATTTGCCGCTGTTGAAGTGGCGCAGGCGAAAGCTCGCTATACTCATCTGATGACGACATGATGAAGGAGTATTTGATATTTCAATGCACGGGCGGGACAATTAACATTAAACTACTAAGGTGGTGAACATGTCGCATCCAAACAGCTATTGCAGAAGAAAAATGAATTGGCTGGCATGCACACGGATGGTGACAACCAATCTTATTACCTGTGGTGAATGGCACGGTTAAAGACACGACAGGATGGTACAAGAAACATCGTCTATAATCAATCTGTGATCGTGGACGCAAAACGCGGTGATCATAGCAAGCGGCAAGAAGCTCCGTATCATCCGAACAAGATCGGATGGAAAGCGCATACAAATTGTAGAGATCCTTCCCTATCTGAGTTTGTACGCCGACTACTATCATTCCAGAAGGTAACTGAGCGACCTATGCAATAAGATCAAACGCTCATTTTGGTAAATTTAGGATATGTCTTAGGCGAGCCTCACGTAAAAGAAGGTCGATAATTTCACGTACTGGGCTGTCAACATAAGATGTCAAATTTTCGAATTTTGATGGTCAGTTGGTACTGTGACATGCTCCCACAGGCCATCAACAGTTCGGAGTGGCGGAGCAGATGAATAGGGCGGAGTTCAAGGGTGTGAGAACGTAGTCAACGGTGGGTTAGGTCAGAGCAGCGATGCTACTAGCTCAACAACATGATCAAACCGAATATTGAGTACCTATGCCAGTTTTGGTCGCACGGATGCCTCATGTAAATGGTGCAAATAGTGGGTGTAGATATTTTTTCGAGCGTATGTTTGCTGAGAGCACAAGAGGATATTGACTTCACAACTTTTAGTTTCACAAGGAGACATCTCTTAAAAATTGTTAGGCGTATATTTAATGGCATTCACCCCTTCGGTTCATCAGGACGATCAACTTTTATCCACGTTATGAAGAACGATGCTGACAAGTTACATACGAGGAACTGCCGGATCGCGTACGACAGCAACAGCAGCAGTTGGAAGCTGGTGATGAGTTAATGACTACTACAGATTATTTACTTGCTGAAGAGGTAGAGCCACACATCCAGCTCCAAAGTTAACGGAGATGACAGCACGACGATGAGTGTTGCCATGTTGTTCTGCTCGGTTGCGATATTGTGCGAGACTTGGTCCGGATACTAGAGACAGACCGACGAGTTCTGACGAGCAGCATGTGAACGATGATGATACAGAAAGCGACAATCACTTCCGACTTTCATCTTAAACGCTGCCTCGTATCCGATTGGGTTTGATTTGTATTCATCAAAAAACGGGATGAGCACTTAAAAGAGGCTTGATATATCGCTTTATAGCGAAAGCATGAGTTTGGTATTAACTTCTCCGGAACAAAATTCCCATGACCAGCATTATATTTTATTCGGGTTGTTCTATCTTACCTGATACACGACGGTCTGACGAGATGCCGATACATCTTTCTCCAACAGCAATCTCAGGAGCTGGCGTACGTGGGAGTATGGAAGGTTTGTTTTGTACCGATGTCGCCAGGCCGTCCGGGTGCAGATGATATAGGGATTATGGGCTGGAAAAGCGGCTAGTGCCTGATGAGTTACAACACAATTCAACTATTGCTGACGAAGATCGTCGGTAAAAGCTTGGTGGAGATCAGTTTGCGTACGCTACGAGTAAAAGTGGCTGTATGGTGTATTTATGTCCTTACATTGATGCTATGGCCATCGCAGACAACGCAAGAAGATTTGAGAGATACAGACAGGGCTCAAGATTTTGTTCACGTTCGAGTAACTTCGGATGGAAAATGAGTTCAACCCGATGACGAAAAGTTGATGACCAGACAGATGCGTTAAATTGACAAGGAGTCCAGTCGATTAAACCTGCCGGATTCAGAGGCAGCGTTGGATCAAAGTGAATTGAATCAAAGACGACGATGCTGCAGTCGCCAACGATAGGATTTGGCAGGAATGAGATGCGGTCAATGCCGTACAGTTTGTTGATCGGATTTGTGCTTCACATCACCATTTATACGCACCCTGACGTGTCGGACGCAGTAATGCAGCTATTGCGGTTCTTTGATAGCCCTCTTCTGTTGCATCGGCAGCACTGTCTCTTAATAACGCGTGAGCTCGAAATATTTAGTGGTAGCAATAGTGACGTGCTGGTGACAGATATCAAAAGGGACAGTAGCTTTGTCGATTGTTGCTCAATGGCGGGGACCGGCTACGGTTCCATTGTGATGATGAGAGGCGGACAGTGATTTTAGGTTAAATTCCCAACGTACAGTGGCGCTAAATATGATGGAGGTGGGATAATTGGGACTCGGCCTATGTACCCATGAATTGTTGTAGGCCTTGGGATGCTCAAGGAGGATCATTAGCAAGTAAAAGCTGCAGACGTTTTTAGATAATCAGAAAGCAGTCGGATTGGTAAGAAACGCAGGGTGTAGTACAAGAGACAACCATGTTGACAATTTGTTCGAATGATTTTGATTTGGGAGTACATGAAAGCGAGTGGTCATCGACATGAAGAACGTTTTCATGTTGGGTCAGTAAGCGGACATGCTGGTTACAAGATTAAACCTGTCACCACTGATGAAACTCAGCGTGTAGTCGTGCTTCATGAAAACTCAAAATACTGCTCGAAGCACATGATACCCTATCATGTGGCCACCTGGGAAGAAAAACTGCTGGCGAGCGATTTGTATTGATATCCCAGCATGTTAAAAGTAAGTCGTACCGCGAAATGTCGAAATTGTTCGCCCGTTAAATGTGCAAATACTAAACAAGTCCAAGCCACTTCTTTAAGACGAAGAGCTGGTCAATATACATGATAATCATGTTAAACACGTAGAGGCATACAAAAACATCTCCGTTCCAACCGCTGTTGTCGTAAACACAATGAGATCGGCACTGCAGCTATTGAATCCGTTTTTGCACGAAGCTTTTCTCAACCGAGACCTCGTTTTATGAAAAAAAATTAACACTCTTCTGCATCTGTCAATCCAAATGAAATTTACATAATACATACTTTCAAAGTAAGTTCCGTCTGGATTGACGTAGTCGCAATTCGCCATCGTACAGTTCAGGAATGCCGTATCCACGCTTATCTACTACAACACCTAACGATCTACAACGAATACATCCAGTATGGCCGGTATTGAGTTTACTTGTGCAGAAGATGGGCGTAGTATATTCCATACGTTCATTAGTGCCTTGTACGCTCTATTTCAAGAGAGAAAATAGTCCGTCCGACCTTCTTTAAACTCTCTGGAAGCCGACAGATCATAAATACGATTTGCCGATAGTAATATCACTGCAATCCTGTGTTCTACACCGGTTCGACATCGTCCATGTGTTTTTACCGGTTCTTCATTCCCTTTCTCTTATTCATTCAGGACCGGTAACGATCCACTTGTGTTGGCTGGATGCGTCATCAACGACCTTGTTCAAATGAATGACCATTTCGTGAGCTGGTAATTGCGTGTCATATATTCCGTCCACATCACCTCAAAGTTACCGTCAAATGAGCTCAAGTCATATGCGCGATACCGCTTTAGATTATCAATATAACTCAAAACATGCACCATGTTTTCGATGCAAAATATTGTTCGGGATCCAAATACACCGAGATGATTCAGCGTGGATTTCAACCGGAACCTTCTTCATACGGCGTGGCAAAAGTATGCTCGGTGTTTGTGGACCGATTTTTCAAGTAAAATCGTAGTCTCGATTGACCACTCCGCCAATCCTCCCTCAATTTACAGTATCTCGGTGCCTCCTTCATGTCAATCCGATTTATCACTCGGCAACTTTAATTTACTGAGGTCTGAACAAAAGGAAATCGCAAATGAAGGATCTCTCGATTCCGACAAGAGTCTGCAGTCATCTAGTTCATAAATTTCGTTTCATTGTCGTGGCGCAGTCATTTTGCCGTTCAACTCAGTGATTCTCGTAGGTTGCCTTGAATTTTATTCAGTTGCTCGCTACCTCTCTCCTTTATCGTGAGTATAAACCCACAACTTCCCTTAGGTAGTCGTCAACAGAGATAAAAGATAAGGTAGCTATTATCACTCTCGGAATCCATCATCAAATGCCTCATCCAGGAGTCTGGGAAATTTCTCGGTTATGCCGCTTATGCTAAGCATTCACCTCAACCTTTGCAGATAGAGACAGGGACAATAGCTTTCTCTGGACAATGTTAGTTTTATCTCATCCTTGTGAAGCATTTTCAAAACGCGCGATGTTTTCGCTCGAAATCAGGTAAAATGAAGCTTCTGCTTGCTTCCCTTTCATGGAGTCACCTCACAGAGTACCAACCATTGTTGGCATTGTGGCTGATACACATTGCGGTACATTTCGTTCTCACAGGGGTCCTGTCAACACGTCAGAATTTAGGCTTTTTCGACATTTATCTCCACCGCAACTGCGCTAGTCTTGCTCCAAAAAAACACAATTTATATTGACTGAGTCTCTGTTGCTAAACTAACAACGAAATGATGAGTATTGATCACATTTTCATGAGTCGAGAATACAGAGATTTGCCATCACATACAACATTAGGCGATTAGATTGTACTCCTCTTGTAGAGATTCGACATGCTCGATCTAGCCACAAGTTGATACTGCCATTTGGATTCAAAGCAGCTCAAAATTGGTGAATCGGCACGAGGCCAAGGAATACATTATCACGATCACGTTGAGTAAGCTGGTTTATTCAAGTGTAACCACCAATAATTCGAGAGGCCAACGACCCAGCAAAGCACGAATCTCCATTTTGACTAATGAAAAGCCCTCCTGAGTAATCCCGACTACTTTCACTGAGACAACATGATCATGACGAGAGGCGGATAAGGCTGACAACGAGGTCACGGGTGCATGGCTGGTCAAGTCCACCAAAGCACTCAGTACTCAAGCTTAAGGATTTGATCTTTAGCGCAAGACAAAATACGTTTTGCGACCTGGACTATTGTAACGCTGCGATCTGCGATCAAGCATAAATCGCGTGGATGCGGCACAACCGGATAACCAACAACCTTGCATACCTTGTCACAGTGACGCGATCTCTTCATGAACTCACAATGGTGAAAAGGGTAAAGAAACTTAGCATCTAGACAGCTTCAGCGAGCTGGTTGTGGGTTCTGCAGACTCTTGGAAAATTGGTCGAGGCAAGCAGCTCATAGTTCTACTAAGAACAGATTGCGAGTTCAATGGGTCAATAATCACAACAAGATGGATGTGTCGCTGATCGAGATAATGTAAATCTACCTCAAAAGTGCGAGCGACTCGGAGGAGATTACGGAGCGCACGAAAGGTGAACGTTGGGTGGTTAAAAGAGGCTGAAACAGCAAAACTGACAGTGTGCAAAATAATCTCGGTGGTTTCCTGAGCAAATGATTTGAATGCAACAAGTTTAGGCACATGAAGCAAGGATTATTCGGCCCAGGTCAAAACCAAACTGAAGGTTGACATGACCGGAAAAGAGCTGGAACAAAAAGCGCGAATGCGATGCGATTCTTGCGGTTGGCGAAGGTCGAACGGTTGGGTTGCTGATCAAAGTGGTAAACCTTTTCGGTTTGGACTGATGGAAGATGTCGATAAAAAGGTTAAGCTACTGGCAGCACACCTTATACATTGCTATGATCAACTCATTGGTTCAGATCGCTTCATAAATTACCCCCTTTAAACGTACAAAAAAAGCTGGCTGGTTGGCTCTGACGCTGGAGTGATGGCATTGAAGAGAGCGTCCATGATTTTTTTATAGCAGGGTCATAAACGAATACGAACACGACAAAATGAGGGGGAAGTAAGCTCGACACTCTTTTTTACCTCGTGAAGCGGAAAATTGGCAGCAAATAGCATACAACACTTATCTCTGAACCGACATGTTACCATCATCCAAATAACCAACCTCCTAACGTTTCTCTCGCACATATTACACAGGTGGCACCCCTTGTCCAATCTCCACAACTCCCAAATCTTGCTTGAATTTCTCCATATTGGCCTGTAACTCTTCCAAATGCTGACTCAATATATCATGCATCTTTTCATCTAAAAAGATAAATGAATTGCGGAAGCTGTTTTTAAATGTCATCTTTTTTATTTGTACATCAAACACCAGAGCATATTTGAGGTATTGTAAAGCCACGTCAAAATTTTTTTGCTGTGAGGCTTCCATGATTTCTGACTTAGAAGACGTAGCAACCGTACCATACAGACTGAAAAGGTGTTGAAAGTATTTTTCAGGGTTGATTCCTGAATTCGCCAAAGTTGTAAGCATAGTTGTAGACGAAAACATGGACTGCAGCATATCTTCTGCTAATTTATTTATCCGCGGGTATTTCCTTTGAGATCTTAAAAATCTTATCAGCGATTCAAACGGGATTGTGGAAGACAACAATTTAACCAGCTCGGTGTCGGTAAAAGGAAAATTTTTCCTGTATTGCAAGACGTAATTGAGTAGCCACAACATCGCAGAATTGTCTGATTTATCCAAATCATGCAAACTCTTCATTAATTTGGGAAACGCAAGATCTGGGCGAGTTTCTTTTCGTAAAAGATAATCCGTATGCCAAGTCAACCGTATGCTCATCAAGTCGCCCACCACGTCGTCAAGGTCTTGATTTAAAAAAACATCCTGAAACTCTTGTGATGTAATCATCTTATCCAGACTGTCTTCCGACAAATGCTTGCGTAGTGCCCATAGAAATTCAGCGTTGCGCAATGGGCTTTTACTTTTCGCAAGTCTCCAGTACCACGTGAAGTATTCAAGCCACACCAAAAACAGTTGATCCGTGACTTTGAAGTTCATAGACTTGTGCGCAAAGAAAATTTCGAGAATCTTTTCTGGGGAAAACCCCTTTTCTATCCATTGACCAAACACCAAAGGCTTGTACATGGAATCCAATACCATGGTTCGTTGTACATCCTCTGCAAAGCTCGCGAATTCTGGGTTGGCTTGAAGTTTATCAAACAGATCTACCACGTCTTGTGGCACAATTGGCTGTGGTTTTATTTCTTCTGTTAAAGTGACTAGCAGCTTTGTGTTATCATATTTCTCAATACTGTCATCACTTGTGGGGAATGTCCTGGAGGCTTGTACACTTTTTAACCAGTCCATGACGGTCTTGCCCTCGTAATAGCTATATTCAAGTACCGAAATTACATCTTCACCAGCCGTGTTTCTAAGATGATTGAAATAAGATGCTGTATCGATCGGCTGAGGTCGCGCGAATTGATTAGCAAACGATGATTCCAGTCGAGGCTTTTTCAGGGCGGGAGCTTCGTGTATCAGCTCTTCCACTTTTATTATCGCATTTGTTGAAAGTTCTTGGAACGTACTCAAAGTTTTCTCTAACATACTATCACTAGCCCCACCTTTCATTCTTGCTTCGTTCTCTTTGTCGTCAAGATGAGCCTCGTTCTCCACACGTTCGACATTATGTCTTTGCGTTCCATTCGAGATCGAGTCAGGTTTTAGTACTGGGGTGCAAAGCAGATTACGACGGTTTAAGTCTGCATCACCACCATTACCACATGCTTTTGCCCTCAATCTGGTCGCAAAGCAAAAGCTAGCTCCACTTAAAATGATAGCGACGACTTTCATGGTCTCTTTATAGTTCGATGTCAAATGCCAAATCGTCACTTAAATGGTGTCTTTGACCACAAGAAAACAAATCGTTGATGATTGCGAAATATTATGTTCGGTACACTCCAGTACCGAACATAAAATATTTATTTTTTGGAGTGTATCGAAATTCATTGATGGACTTTTCAGCTGAAGCGTGGTGACCTTATAGAATATGATGAGAAGTTTTGCTTTAGTAACACCTTTCTGAACATGTGAGTGATGGCTTATATGCAAAAAGCGTTATAATGATGCAGGTTGCGATGATGTCGTAAGGACAGATGGAAAGAGATACTTTTAATTTATTTTAGGACGATAAAATTTTAGTTGTTCCACATTTTTATCTTAATTGTTACTTTACAATAAAAAGAAAAAATTGCTAGCCGAAAGCGATAATTAGATAAACAAAAGCGTCTCTCGCATTATTAAACTGGTGTCCAGTCTTATAAAGCACCATATACACTATACTGTCATGCAGACATAAAAGATTGTGATGTTGTTAAGAATTATCACCTTTGTAATTTGAAAATCAATTATTAGAGCACAAGTCAAACATTCTTCAATCGTAAATTCATGATATTCTGGCTTAATAGAAGAAGCTGGTGTAGTAATAGACTGCCACGATGTCAAAAGTATTTTTAAGGAATGACTCCGAAGCCCGCAAAAGTCATAAACATGGCTTGCTGAGATTCAACCAGTAAATGCTAGAAGGATGAGGTCACAGGGATACGTTACGTGCCTGGTCAAGATTATGGACACAATGATTAAGGACAACAATACGGGAAATAAGTGCTGACACAACGGTAGTTGCTGATAGGCTTACGATAGATCAGGATCTAGTATAGTGAGTCGAGTATATAAAATGAGTGGCTTAGAAATAGCAAGCTTTTTTGCAAACTAAGGACCTGAATATATTCACCTCACAATTTACCTTCTACGCACTTTTTTATGACCATCCTATCTGAGGTAGATATCGTGCAGCATATCGTCGTTTTAATATTTACTGAGAGCTCTCAACAGCATCGCCGGCGCTTCATATGATACCAAGTGATGAAGCACCAAAAGTGGCAGCACAGTGAAATATCCAATAGCTTATTGACCCAATACGGTAGAATTCTAAGCTTTAATCCTGTTTGAAGTGTTTTTACAGGAAACACTTCATAAGAACGGGGTAACTGTGTGGCTGTCCTATGCACGAAAGCTCAAGTATATTACAATCGCAGCAGAAGACTATCGAGATACAAGTGTGAGTGATGGTCAGTATCATGTGGCCTACAGTCAACAAGACGTTGTATTTGTTATTGTCAGTGACTAAGCATTTCGACCATTTAGGTTCACATGTGGTCGATTAAAATGGATTTACTTCAATTTTAACCTCCTATCGAACACTTGTACCTCAAGCAAATTCTCACAGGTTATTGGTTGAACGACAACATGTAATGGGCTACACTTAGCCACTGCATGGAGGTACATTGATGTAACTTCTGTATGCATTGGGGCAATAAATAAAAGAAGATTACAGTATGGTGTTTCCAAATGAATACGTGATTTTTTATGAAGTCATAAATGTTCTGTGTGATACAGAAGGCTGGTTCCAACTTAGGAACTGGCGACGGGGCCGACGTGTCTCTCTGTTTAGAAGTGGGTGGTATAAGCCAGTCGCTTCTACTGAATAATTTACACGAAGATTGAGCCTCAGGCGTTCGAAGTTCAAGCTACGTACGCCTAAGATCTTATACCAGTTGCAGCTGAGGTTCAACCTCAGTACGCCCTTGATATATGAACAGGAGCTCAAGGTTTCATCAGTAATATTTCTAGGAGCACTTAATGTGTTTCGCATGTAGCTAGGACGAAAACTTATTTATTTCAATTGCTAATTTACCTTTCAGGTATTAAGTCGGTCTTCTTTCTCCATGTCGAGCTATCCTTCTCCTTCCAAGTCGATAATCGCTTCCTCGCTGCATAAACGTTGTGTTAAAGGGACTGTTAGTAAACAGTGCGCTCTTGCACTTGGT